ACCAGAGATAATCATGCACAGGCCTGAATGTACTTTGAAGACTAGAATAGCAAGTAACTGAAGACGTATTCCTGCTAACTAATTCCGTGCTACTTTAATAAAGTATGAACCGCGTCCATATGACCTACCCTGACGTTTACGTCAGGCTTATGCTGAAATCCACAAATTGGTAGATATGCTGTAAAAAGCATACTATCAGGTCGATAGGTATTCGTAGACATCTTAACCTGGCCGCTCTGTATCTAATATTACATTTTTCCGGTTCGAGGAATATTAGGTCCAGGTTTTGTTGCTGTGGCCAGCTGGTCCTTCATGAATATCAATGAAAGCGGCCGAACCAGCACGCGTTGTCGTAGACAACGCACCAAATGGTCATGGCGCTGTTCTCGATCTACTCATCACCAGCTTCGTTCAATTCCAGATCAGCGAAGTTAGATAATTTGGATCAGGCTGTCATGCGCACACGGAGACTGTCGTTGAGGTTCCATGGTATTGCGTCGTCGGTCCTGTGGGATGGTGGTTGCACGGGCTCTAGCAGGAGTTACGAACAGTGTGTGGACTGTATAATGCGCCTGAGGCGGGAGCTATTGTGACTGCTTTAGTCAGCACAGAATAGGTCGCCGGGACTTGAGGACGCCGGTGTTGAATGGGCTTCGTCGTTTCACCACATATTCGCTGTGGGTAAATCCGATCATAGATACCGTTCTCTAAAACGCTGGTTATCCTGTTATCCGTTGCTCCATTATTTTGCTTCGTTCGAATTACGTAACACTTACAGTCGGCGGATAGATTAGACGCACTACCTGACTTTGGTGCAAGTGCAGTGCAGGTAATACCACGAGCTCGGAAGAGGCTCGTATACGAGTGGCATGACAAAGCTTAGGAGATGGCGTGAAACAGCCGACAAAAGAAATACAGCATCGATCCCACATCGCACTTCCTATCGAGCAATACGAGGTTTCACGACACCGGTTAGAAAAACATCAGACCCAGGAAACGCGTAAATGTTGGAGATAAGATGATCAAGGGTCCAGTAGTCTATCTCCAAGTCACTAAATGAAAACAGATATTTGTACTCTACGTATCCACCATACGTCTAATTAACCGAAATTAACAAAAAATTAGGTGGCTTTTATCGTGGGCAAAATACAATGTCCCTAGGGGCAATTACGGACGTTTATTAACTGCTGCTCCAATGGCTGCACTAAAGTGAGCACGAAATACCTCCTGCAAGTGGATATGGTATTAATAGTGTTGGAATGAGCGCATGCATTACCACATACAGTTGGCACCCAAGAATATCGGCCATACATTAATGAGTTAATGATATAGTGGTTTTGACAGGAACGGCTTTTCCAAATTATTTTCGTTAGTTTTTATTAGGGAACGTTTTTTTTTTTTTCGAGAAGGACATTCACTTAAAAGATGGCAAAATAGGCGCTGATGATCTTTAGTAAATGAGCGAAAAATCCTTTCCTGAGGCAGTCATGTCTTACAAAAACGACCTTCGAAGTTAGGCCTATTTTGGATCAACGACAATATTTTGTAGCAAGTGTGCCTGGAAAAAACGTGTAAAAGATGTGTTGCACCAGACCAAGGTGCGCACTTTTGAAAGAAGGACGGTGGAAAATTGTGCCTTCGACACCTTACTCCATTCGAATTAAAAAAATTTCAGAAATTTGAACGTAGAAATCGACAACTCCCTCAAAACCACTCGTCGACAATCATCACCAAAACAATGAAGAATTAGAGAAAAATCGTGAAATAAATATTATTCATGTAAGAACCTGAAAGGTCCGTATGGAAGATGTCACGCAAGTGTGTGCGTACACGCTATGTGCAGTGTATGATGCATTTACATAGCATGTTAAGCTTGACTTGTGGACTAAACTAGTCGGCACTGTTGATATGGTAGTCGGATGTGGTGTAATAAGTTTTTTTTTAAGAATTGTAGATTCATGGGAAAGTAATCATAATTTTCTTCAAGTGCTCACTTTTTGTTTTGCCTATCCATTGTCTGTCTACGTCTGAATTCTATTTGAAAACACTTCCTCTTCCGCATGAGCTTTCTGTGACTGGTTGTGTGGCAAAAGTAACTTTTTTTAAGTTTAGCCTTTAAGGGTGAATGTGACAGAATGGAAAAGCATTCTTAATTTTATTTCACTTTGATTTTTGCCGAAGACAGAAGAGTTGTGAATCAGGCATCATATGCATATGTAGTACTTTCCTGAGAGAAAATGGTCTACTTAGTACAAAGGTACGATTTGGATCCAAAGGCAGACGCTTTGCTCCAGTCGGCCATCAAAGGTTGATGAGAACGTACTTTTAAAGGATGACGCTTTACAAATAACGTCTAAATTGGACAAGAATGTTAAATGCGTTACGCAATTATTACATGATTCATTCAAAAATAGAAACGTCTGAGGTCCCGTATAAACTGAATCAATAGCGCAAGGAGATACGAATTCCTATTGCCTCCCATCATAACATACAGCACATGTAACACGAAATTAGAATAACAAATTTTTACACAGAATTGTTATGGATAACAAAAGGCAGTGTGTATGTCGATCTCAAATACGAAAAGAAGTAGATGACTTCAGGTAATGCATTTTAATTCGCAGTTGAACAAGGTCTCCGTCCAATAAAAGTCATGATACGTTGGTTGGTGCCCTATACACTAGTAAACGCTTGAAAAAATACGACGGTAGAAAAATGTCTGTGCTTATCTTAATTACGTCGAGGAACCTATGCATCGGATAAACAAAGAAAAGTCACCTTTTTCCACAATTGTGTCAGACTGCACAAAGAAAAGTTTTTAAAGCTACACTGCCTGAGCTAAAATTGTTCAGGACCTGCCGTATTTATTAGACCTCACGTCCTAAATGGGCAAAGTGAATTTTTAGTAGTTTTTGTGGTAATGCGAGGGATCCCCTGGTCTCGTTAGAAACGGAATAGACATACTGGTTAAAAGATCGGGATAGATCGTAAAAGTGATAACAAATAAATAATAAATTCGTGGCTAGAATTTAGTTCGAAAACTGACTTTTATTAGAGAAAAACCTGCGTTTTTCTGTCGGCCCATCTCATAAATAGAAATATTTAACAAGAATTACTTTAAAAAAAATCGTTTCGTTAACTCGTAGCTTTGCTGAATTACTGTAAAAGAACCAGGAGAAGCCTATCTTCGCAAATCGATAGATCCTAGCGATAATACTTCATGATATATCTCGAAAAATCTACTTAAAAATGTATAAATAGGTATGGATAACTGCCCTGGTTTCCAAATTGTATAAGCATGTATTGCCTGTATCTAGGTAAGTTTTGAGAATAAACCCTGTAGAGTTGTGCCACAGAGTATCTATACTTAGGCCCGTAAAGCTGTGATACTACTTTTCCTATGTTTGTTTAAAGTTACTTATCGCAAGCCAGTAAAGACTTGGATAAGTTTTCAGATCAGCTGGTTAAAGCATAACCTTTAGATAACCATTAGAATAAATCATTTTTTACAGCCAGTCAGCTTTAATACCTTCGGTGAAGCTAAATGCTTTAGTAGGGCTGGTGTTCAATGTTTTATCTAAGAGGACCTGTTCGCAGGGAACAAATACTCAAAACTGTTTCAGAAACAAACCATCATCGGGTGGGTCCAAACGCCAGTAGTAGAATTCGAAAAATCGAGATAAGAGAGAAACATACTTGATAATTCTCAGAATCATTGACGCTATACTCGATGGTCGTTTCATTATACTTGCATCGGCTTACCATTTGGTTGTACGTGTCATCTTCTAAGTGATGGTTCATTAGTGACTTGAAAAGTGAAATAGACCTCGCATAAAGACATTAGCAGAAATAACTTTGTTATGAACCTTATAGCGTGAACATATTACAAGAAATAAAGTGGTTTATATATATATATATATATATATCCATTTTGTATAGAAATCCTTGAAATTTTCTACACACGGTAATTTCGCGTTGGTTTCATTACATGCACAACTTTCATATCACAAATGTAAATCTGCATTTTGTTTACGTTAACGACCTGTGGCACACGTCAAAAACCTTTCTACGTCTTTAGCATGGCTCCAGCTTCCTTAGTGTTTTTCTTTAAGTTAACTTTGCATCCATCTTCTGCTACCTTTTTTCTTCTATCTCAGCGCGGTAAACAGGCATTCGTTTATCCACCCTTGTCAGCATGGCGTACATTTTGTCTCGTCCCTCTATAGCTGTCTAAATCCCTTCGTGGTCGCCCGCTGCTGCTGCTGCCACCACAATTGATAGGTTTCTCGCCCCACTGATTTCAGCTTGTTTGGGACCGATGTATGTTAGTAACTATTCGGCCCTTCAATGTGTCCCCCAAAGTAGCGGCGTCCGCGGCCACCAACACTAGAAGCTAGCATAGCTACAACAATATTGTTCAGGTGCAACACAATACAGGTACAACAGGTAGAATGAGATTTCACGAGATAGCGCAGTGGATAACATGCTTGCCAACTAAACTTAAGGACATGTGGTAGTCGAAGTTCGAATTCGGGCACAGACACGCTTTGTTTCACGCCGGAAGCCAGCCGACTGAAATAATGCCGAACGGCTTAAATAGGAAACATAGGACACAGAAACACAGGTAGAATAGAAAAGGGAACGTGATAGCTTTTTTAGAGGTAGCCTCAGGGGCTTTTGGAGCGCCGTATCACGTCAGAGCAGTGGCCAATAGCGCCATAGAGGGCAGTAGCGGTTTACAGTGCAGGAGGAAGCTTTCGCTGTGGTGCCGGTGGATGTCGGGTGGCATGGAGTCAGGGCGGGCACTGGCAGCAGGGCAAACCCAGTGGTCTCCCGCTGCTGCTGCTGCCGCTTGAGTCTGCCCAACCAGACCGCCCGCCCGCCCAGCCTGTGGATGGTTATAGTTTGCCAACAGACGGAACAGAGGGCGCTGCCGACACCGGAGCAGATCTTGGCCCTGGAAGTTCATCAGTCCGCGCGAGACCTTGTGCGGAGTTGAGCAGCGTCGTACGGTGCTGTGTATGTTTGCGGCTTTATATAGACCTGCAACCCAACATCGCGAACGAAGTGAAGGAGGCGGCAGGCAACAGACAGCCCCAGAAGTGGATAGCCCTGCAGAATGAGCAGTCGTATATCGTTCCTGCAGTCTCATCGCAGTTTGTGGAGGAGAATCCTAGTTTCACTATTCATTTTAAAACAGATTCAATACATATAGCCGTCATAGAAATTTGTTATTGTTCTTCCTACGAATAGCCGCACCCACTGTGTTATTATCAGAAAATTGTGAACATGTTACGAACGGAAGTAGTAACTTCAATCAATCGGTATGTTTTTATTCATGTGATGAATTTGTGCAGAGATTGATGTGCAGACGGAATTGTTGAAACGAATTCTGACGGCAATCGACTCGCGGCTGCATACAGCCTGCATAATGATACTAGTAACAAAACGCAAGCCATCTATATTAACAATATGGTATATGGGGGTCTAAATCGTCATTGAATGTTGGCTTGTTTGTTAGGTCAATTGGTGATAATGGATAAGTTAACCGCGCATGTACACTGGAAAGGCTGAGCCAAGAGACACTTGCAAAAATAAGAAGTAGCAAGTTTATAAATGCTGGCGTGCGAATTAAGAGAAAAACAGTTTTGTGTATTCGATAGGAAGTTAGTAAGCGGGCGTTCTGACACTGAAAGGTCAGCTTGTAGTGGCCTGTAATGGAAAGGCTGCCCGGTAGTAGCTCTGCCCGATGCTATTATATTGCTTCGTTCGTCATAGCTAAGAGGCTTACGGGAAGTAATCACCTCAGTAAGCGGACAACAGCAACGACCGCACTGATGACTTGGAAGTTGACGAGTGCACCTGAGGTAAGTACGGCAAGTTATCACAAGATGTAATGATGTTTGATATGCTGCTAGACGTCCGGGAAGCTACTGAAAGACAAGCAAAATCTTACGATATAATGTACTACTAGCACGGTTAGCAGCGTAGCATTTTACGATCCCCTGTGACTGTAAAAAGAAAGGGAAGAGTCCGTACGTGCACCCATGATTAGCGTTGTTATTCCCATAGCTATCCTAAAAATAGCTAAAGGATTGTGACTAATAGCGAGACGACGATACGATATGAAACAGTGATAGCGATCAGCTGCGGCAATAAGCACGGAAACCGAAACAGCACTCGCATACGGGAGTGATCGACGGGCCTTGATCGTGATTGGCGCGCGCCGAACTCTCAATAGTGAGAGAGCTGCCCTGGGTGCCCTCTCCTTTCGTCCTAACCAAAAGAAACCACCGGTTGCGTCCTGCGGACTGCTACTCCAGGCTTCCTAGGTCGGGAGTGAATACCATTCAAGCTACACCCTTTAACTTGGATAAGGCCGTCTTATTTTTTATCGTCGTTGCTATTTGCTTGAAAGCCAAGCATTCATGAGACCCAGTAGGTTATATTGTACGTCGATGTTGGCTGTTACTGTTGATCGTGTTTGACTATTTCACTGGGCAGTTAGGCAGGTCGACTGGCCGCGGCCGGTTGGTTCGCGGGCTATACGCTGACTCTTGATGCAGCGAGAGCGCTAGGCAGCAGTTGCCGCTCTTGGTCCACCGTGTCAAAACAAGGCAACTTGTGGCTTTGCCCACTAACAGGTGGCAATTGCGAAACCTTTTGGGGCGTACGTTCTGTCCCGCAAAGAAACAAACACGTTACGAAGTGATGTCTGCTTCTTAAGGTTTTTCCCTAGAGCAGTTGCTGATAACTGCGATATTAGAGAAACAAATTACGATTAAGAGTTCTGCATCATATTTCCATCAGTAGTAATAGAATGAGTTCATAAGTAATTCTAATTGTACCATCTTCTACGACTGAAGCTTCTATTGCGACTACTAATAATTAAATGACAGTTTTGGCTTTGTTGTTGGAAATCAGAGGGGCCGATGATGTACGCAGGACGTGAGTTCTTAACTGATGTGTAGGTCTCGATAAACGGGCTTACTGTTAGGCTTCGAAGACAGGAGCTTACTTTGAGAGGATTATTATTGTTAACGGCCAACTGTGATCCGGTCAACCGACACAGGTATAAATAGGTATTTTTTTTTCTAATAACACAGGGTTTATATATTTATATGAAATTTGTTCCTATACTAAGCTGGAAGAAAATCGAACAATGACAAAAAGAGTTCAAAGCAAGAATAATAATAGAAGAACTATGCGAATCTCTTTCTATGAACAACTGTAGCAGACGCCATAACGAAATTGTTATTGACGTTAATATTCGCGTTTTGCATAGTTTATTGATACGGGTTGAGGCAACGATATGATCCGTATACCGTCTGCGAAAAATACGCAAGATTACATCTAGTCTATTGCATTCATTGTGGTCCATATCAGAGCCTAGGCTCTGTCTGAGCAAGTTTTCTCTAAACTCATGACTGGGTGTTGCCGTGCGCTAGAAAAAAGTGGCAGCGGCCCAGAAGGACTCGGTGGTGTGCCACGATGTCAGCCGCTAGGTGTAAGACTATTCTAATCAGCATAAATTTTTATAGGAGCGTTAATGCAAATATGTGGCCATTCACACAGGATCAGGCACACACACACACCGCAAATCTTAAAGCGATAGAAATTCTCGGATCAGATACCCACACCAAATAAGATTGTAGGGAAATTCAAAGCCGTAAAATGCCGGGAATGCATATAGATATTATTTTAGTGAAAAAAAATTGATTGCATCTCACGGCTGTAGCTTATGATAGCTCGTTTTGCATGAGAGCTTCGATGCCGCAGCGCTATGAAGCTCTCACTAGTGTAAAGTGTACCGCATTACTTGTTCCGGAAGCCGAACACCAGAAAAGAAGTTCTTAACGAAAAAATTACATACGTAGTTTGAACATCAACAATTTTTCTGCCTGTAAAGGTCAGATAGTTTCGATTACTATAATTATAATACGTTATATAGATATCGTCCGCGTACTTCGCTTTGAAGTTTTTTTTTTTTTTGAAAAAACCCTGAATCATAGGAGTGTACGGCTACTCAGTTTTTAACAGAACAAAGCTACTGCGCTTGCAGAGGTTGTCCACATGCAGATCACGTCCCTGATTTACCTTAAAACTTTGTACGAGACCGCCTACCTATTGTTCCAAATTTGTTTTTTCTTCAGAATTAAAAGTTCCTACTCCCTGGTATGGAGCACCAGAAGCAGAAGAGCCTTTCAAAGTAACCTTTTTGGATAATTTTTGCCAAGCTATTATGTAATTATTAAATATTAACGAATAGAGAAAATTATGAGCCAACTAACTCCTTTCTAAGTGATAATCGAAACACTAAAATCGATAACCTTCAATTAGTATTTGTGGAGGCCGAAAACAAGATATGCAACAGAGAGGTTTTGTTTGTATAAACGACGGCATTCAATCAGTTTCAGTCATCAAATCAGAGAAAAATTATATAATGAAGGTTAATAACAAGTAAAGAACTTCTTACTTCTAAATAAAGAACGTGTCCATAGGTGCTGATAAATGGCCGAAAAGAGCCGTACACAGCTGACTGAAATGAACAGAAACTGACTCCTACATTTACTTTCATACCTGTCATGGTCAAACTGTAGTTTGTGACTCATTTGCGCGCAACCATGATAGTCCCTCTTTTGCAACGGTTAAACACTTCAAATGAAGGATCTCTTGAAAACCCACTTCAAAGTTAGTAGTAAACCCATATTTAGTAGTTCTAATTAGCTGTAAATAAAAGACACATTGTTTTATCATGTATGTTATAATTTTAACAATGAACTATCAACAAAGGGAGTGGTCGTTTGGCAAAGATTCCGTTTTTGTCGATTCCGCATAAGCAATCAGCTCCGGAAAAAGAGCACCCCTAGCATTGCGGAGCAGGTGTATTAGCGAATGAGACTGATACTAAAAACCTGAACAACGACCTGTTTCTTTTCTGTGAATCTCCTGTGAAAAGATTTGATTACTTGGCGTGCTATCGTTTAATATAATATTATCTTCCTATTAAAGATGATAACAGCTCCACCAGCCGGGTTAGACAATTCGAAATCATTGGAATCACTTACGAAGACATTGGTCGTCCCCCTTGAAGATATTCGTTGCCGAAATCCCATCAGTGCAACGCTCTCAATTAACTTGAGGTGCTACTTCATCGTTTTAGGCATTGCTAATAACTATGAAAACAACTTGAAAATATGTCAGCCCAGATTTACTAAAACCTTCTGCTACTATTCCCCTATTGCTATGCTAATAATTGCTCTTCGCACGTTTAGTTCTCTCTATCTCTTTTTTGCCTAACGTGGCCGTAGCATTTGGTCTACCGTTTGACACCGCACGTTTTCAATATTTTGTTTTTCGTCTCTATCGACGATCCCAACAGCGTCGTACGTAAAGCATCCTCTCAACTTTCCATCTTTATTTCACGCTGAGGTCGATACATTATTAGGATTTGCGTCACACATGGCATGACTTAATTTCCTATGGCGGGCGCAATGTGCCATATCTCGCTTAGCACGAGAGAACGTGGCGTCGTATTAATTCACCCCTGTTTAGTTGGCTTGCCCGTGCTGCATCCGGTGGTCGCAGACAGCGATGACCTCAACAGAAATCGGCCCGCTGCAAATGATCGTTCTTTTTCTCGGCTAAGCAAAGGAAAAATTTGGCCGGAGGATACGAATAGAAATGACGATACCAAGAGAGAAATCAAAAGTTCAGCGTACAAGGCCTGCGCTAGTGTTCGCGGCTATAATATAACAACTTTTTATGTTGTCCTATCGTGAAAGAGCGACTTTCATTTCTCTTTTTTTGTTAGTTTGTAGCATGCCTCTTAGGTTTTCAAATATCCTTTAAGCCCTACTACCGGTCTGATCTCTGCTTTCCTCGTTAAGCCTTTGTGTTTTGCGAATGATCCCCCAGTAGGTTTTGGCGGTCGGACTGCGGTCGTAGGACCTTGAACGTTGTTTCATGTGTCCGTCTAGCTAGTTACAAATTACAACTAAACATGGTTTACATAGCTGTACCAAAGGAAAACTTTCTTTGAGCCTTTCTGGCTAGCGAGTCTAGTTTATGAGTGACGAGCAAGTCGAACGTAGTATAATTCATTTGGTAATGTCCTTAGACTAAAACTCTGTCACCGGGGGGGGGGGGGGTCACGAAAGCAGCCGAAACAGAATTGAATGGGTCAAGGGAATGAAGCGAGGAACGTCACAAGGAACCTAATCTTTCTCCGATCAAACAACGGTTATCATTTGCTCGTATTACTCGCAGTTGGTCACGGCAACGACGATGACAATGCTCTATCGCCTATAGAGACGGAGCATGGGAGAGACCTTCAGCTGTCGTGATACAACCACGACAAACGTAGGTCGTCGACAATGTCGCTTACAGGGTCCACGAAGAACACAAGGTCCACACCCTCTGAGAATGTCTATTGTCTCCGAGTAATCTAAAGGTAAAGGCTCTAAGGTTGTCGCCGGTTGCTGGCTGATTCGTAAAAGAGGCATGGCACAAATAAAGCTCTAGCAGATGTAAAGTAGGACAAAGAGCGACCACTGTTTTTATAGAGGGCTTCCGCTTATTCTTACGGGTGGTCGGTCACGTTGAATCGCCACGGCAGTAGACACATTAACATCCCCCGAAGCTGCTGCTAATACTAGCATTACCGCTGCAGTCGCGAGCGACTTCCTTTCCAGTTGGCTGCTGATTCCTCTACTTGTCTATAAATACTACAGTTGAAACAGAGTAGCCTATAGCTGTGCTTCTCTTCTCTGGGTTTTCCTCTCCAAGCAGAACAAGACAGGGTACATTCATCCGTCCTGTTGGCCTGTGGCCTTTTTTGGTTACACCTTATTTTACCTCAAACCCATCGATTCACCTACCTGACGTTCGTGGATGCACTCAACACAGTGGCGCGCCACTTTGGGCGATTTTGGGCCTGCCAGCTACAAGATAAAAACGAAAAAAACGTATAAGGAGAGCTTGGTAAAGAGGGGATTACCACAAGGATGGACGACCATACATATATAATCTTTTTTATTTTTTTGTTTGGTTTACCCTCCACGGTGGAAGAGCCCTCTTATTGCTGCGGGTCGTCAAATTCCTTTGATCGCCTAATTGATCGCAATCAGCTTTGGTGGACAAAATATAAATCCCATATCCTGTCACACTCGAAAGACCAGCGGATGCAGTGCCGGCGGATTCATTTACTATTTTAACTAATACACTAAACTAGCTAAACATAATGTATTTATTATTTACTCGAGCCACTGAAATAAAAAAAAAAGTGAAATAAAAGGTTGATGGGTATATTTACCTTTTACTTAACATAAATGTACATGTGCCTGCTGAAGTGACATGAATCATTGCATGACGTCTGCGTCATAGATTTGATCAGTGTAGTACAAGCTGGATTGAAACGGTGGTACGGAAAGCCATTTTGCTTTTGGCATAACCTGATGGTGCTCACATTCGGATAAGGGCACATCTTAAATCAGCCGTCTTTGCCCCAGATATGTGCGTGCTAATTGAATTTAACCAAGCTGGCAAGATTTGTTTGTAATCCTCTTTCTTGTAACTTGATTATCTACTAAAAAAAAAACGCATTAAGTGACAGCCCCAGGAAGATTCCTAAAACCAAATTACGTCCATAAAAACCAATTCAATGTCGATTACGGGAATTCGTCTAGGTCCTATCTATCTATATAGTTAGTTCTAAGTAGAATGGCTCCAACGTTGTATGCTATCAGTTTGCATATGCGTTACAGACTTAGTAAAAACAAAGGTTGTATGTGTCGCCTTGAAAGAAGAGCTAACACACACACATATATATATATATGTATATATATATATATATATATATATATATATATATATATATATATATATATATATATATATCGTCTCATTGACACATTGTTCTCTGCACTCTTGCGGAATAGTAGTATAATTCAATTATCGGTCCTGTCGGTTTTAAGCCTATTTTGTGATTTTCTCTTGTTGGACCTCGCTGATCTGTCCTTCGCGGTACGTATTTAACTTCAAGCAAGTTTCAGTCCACTCTCTTAGCCCGTTGGTGACAAAACAACGCGATGAAAATCGCTTACTTGCACCAGAATGATTTTTTTATAGACGACACCGACGGACACTGCTGAGATCGAACGGTTATCGTCCGCTCACAGGATTACTTACGCCAAAAGTTCCGATTTGGCCGTTCCAACGTTTTTAGATAACGCAAAGAGTAGGTGTGTGTTTAAATCATGTACATTTCTTGAGTGTTTCTTAACTAAGTACAACTTCATAGGTTGTAATTAGACATTACGTTATTGCAGTAAATAACTGTGAATGATACGATATGTTCGGTTTAAAAAATCGCCTCAACAAGTTTGGATGTTTAAAGCAAGAATAATAAATATATGAACTAATCTAAATGCTAGCAAGGTTTGCCATCTGAGGAATAGTATCACTTCACCGGCATACCTTTCATGACATAGAGATAATCATGCATACTTAATTTTCTATGATTCCCATATGTCTTCTTTTTTTATACTGAAATCTTAATCAAAACACTGATATCCAATCTCAGGACAAGAGATACCGTAGTAATATTGTTAGTGATCCTCTGTTGGTCTGCTTTTTGTTTTTAGTTTGGTACCCCCGTACGCAAGGCAACAGGGCTATTTTTAACAGTGCAATTTCAACTTGAGCTGAAAGAAACTGTAGAGGAGAGTACGCAAGGTGTCCCGTTAGCTGCTGCCAGGCCTGCTCAGGGGTCTGGGTTAACAGTTAGAGGGCGCAAAACGAAAATATAGTACCTTCCATGTTTTGGAGACTTTCCAGATCACCGCCTACTATATCAGGTAAGAGTGGCATGAAATATAACACGTCAAGCATCGGACACCACCTTTTTGAAACTCAAATGGAACACGCTCTCCACCTCTGTAGAACACTCATGAAGTACTTCCGTGCAAAAAAGCCTATAGTGAATTACTGTCTTCTTGGATTTAAGGTTAGATTTATTTTCAAAATTCCCTTCGTGCCTTCTTCGACCTAGCAAAATAATCAGGGAGATTCGCAAGTTAAGCACTCCAAAGGTTGCCTAATAAGGTCTTCGCGCAAGAAAGGAGGTTCAATCCTGTGGACGGAGAGTCCTTGCAAGGAAGCTGGCTCGGATTCTACCCAATGAGAAAAACAATAATGAGGCAATTGTTACCCTTACCGCCGGTAGTGACTTAATTGTCAAAAGTGTAATCAAAAGCAAGGCCTTCTCCTGTAAACCCAAATTTAGCTCTGAGACATCAACTAAGCACCTCAAGTATCCACTTATCCAAGGCGACGACAGCGGAGAGAGATTTAACCCACACAAGGCCTGCCCTCATAAAGTGTCTGTGTTTTGTTGGACAGATACTTCGACGAAGAGCAGTCTGTACTTTTGATTTATGTACAAATTGATATTGTAGCAAAGTGTGAAATTAGTCTATTTCACTGCATAGTACTATTGTAGAAATGACACAAGCCACATATACTACATACGATCCGTCTCAAAATACATTTTATATCAACTCGAAATTCAATAAAAGACAACAAAATAAGTCTATTATTTGTAGAAGAATCGGCTCTAGTTTAATTTAGGTAATTCGTTGAAATTAAAGGCGCAGGCCGTTGCACACAGGTACCACATCGAGGGTTCCGGCCTCTTCTATCGTTTAGCATAATTCGATTCGACTTTTGATAGATGAACATAATAGACATACCCGTTTGCAATTAGATTTAATAACCATACGACGCATGCGTTCCTCGTGAACGCCATTCTATGCACGTCAACTTGGACTTCACCTATCCATGCCTCATTATGAGAGCTGTTGATTCCTTAAATTTCGCATTCGCGCAGTATTCTATACAGTTGGGATTCTAGTTTATTTAGCGAACTATCCCTGTAACTAATACGTAATAAGCTAATTGAACCACCAATACCTAAGTTCGTTCCCATTTTGAGCTATGCTAGAGTGATGGTGAATGGTAGAAATCTGGTTTGCCCAGCCATGTTTCTTTATATATGAAGAGACGTGCTAAGTGCCACAAGCAGTCCTCCGAATCAAGTTATGTCAAGTTATGTGAAAAATCAGTTGATCGTCCTAGAAGACCATTGCATTGAAAGATGTAACGATGTCGTTTCGGTGTATCCCACTAGCACGTCTGCATGCGCGTACCGTGCTAACGCTTGACCAAGGCTTGCCGAAATGATTTACGGCTAGAGCTTCGACTTGGTGGGCTGGAAGTCTTATTTGCACGAATCTAAATCATTATTGAAGTAATATAGTAAGGTGCTTAGTTTCAGAAGTAAATTTAATTTTGACCTTGGGGACCCCGTTGTATATGCACGCAATTGTATCTCAGCGTGACGACCGCTAGCGCTGTTTTCATCGCTTGTCCTTCACGCAGCGAAGACACTTGCGCTCTGGACTATATGTGTAAGTTCGTACAGTTCCTACCGATAGATCCTCGTCCTTTTGGCTCCATAATAGGTTTAGATTCTTAGAGTAGACGTAACTGATAAACGCAGGGTATAGTTTTTCATGCATTCATGTTACGTGTATAGTATGATATCTAACAATGCATACACGAAATGTTGTAGAAGTTATCACGTACTGTGAGAAATTGAGCAAACTTTGAAAAATATCCGCCTTACATTTCGCTTTTCCCTTTTTCTTGTTTCGAAATGATTGTCCGAATATCTATTTGCGGCACAATTCGTTGCTTTTGAAACTGTTGAATTTTAGTTAATGGTTCATCCTATTTTTGCTTCGGTTGAAACTTTTCAAAGCTATGTAACGGCCGTGTAGCTATGTAGCGACAACGTATATATATAAACATAATATTATTCAAATTAAGGCTGTATAACGCTACTTAATAATGTGTGTCGATCATATCATATCTTACACATAGTAGTCTTATATTCGCTTATTTTGCATGGATAAGCTGTCCCTTGGTTTATGGTGTTTATTTTATATTGCTAGATAATTCACCGATGATCAAGTGGTCCGCTTTCTAACGATTTGTTGCGGCTAGCGGAGCTTGAAGTAAGTCAGTTATGTTATTGGGTTGGCGATATTGTAGAGGGCACGCTTTCATCACTCGTGATAGTTTCTCTTTGAAGCGAAGTGGCGGCTGCATTCCTTAAAAAGTAGTAGCTCGTGAAGTCGATCAGCAGACATTTTAGTTATGCGGGATGAAGGACTCGCAGTGCATGTATAAATTTTCACTCGGTACAGATGAACCTGGCTAATTCCAAGCTTACTGCGCAAATATTCGTGTAGTAGAAATATATTCTTTTTTAAAGTTGAGGCTTTCTGGAAATCAATACGGTCTCATTCCACCAGTAAGAACTAGCTGCTCCCAGAACCAGTCTCTATGGTTACCAGTCCAGACGATATCGTGGGATCAACCCTACGCAGAGCTGTCGAACATTCATTTTCTTAATTTCGTATGTGGGTCGCACCACATTTTCCAAATATCTTCCGCACAATTTGCTTTCAGTCAGCGGGACACTATTTACTTTTGGCCGTACAGGATCAAACTTAAACTATATATAAAATATATGCGTTAAAAGGTACGGTAGTGCAACTTAGAGATTGACAATGCATGATTGCATGGGATAAATGAAAAGAAGAGTAGAGAAACTGACCTTAAATTTGTAGCTCCAGATGATAGAATAGAGACAATCGAAAGAACAAGCCTGCGACAAAAACCCACACAATCCGTCTGTCCGCATATTATGGACCTTTCTCGAAAGGCTTGCAGATCTAATTGAAATAAGTGTTTAAAAAATCCCGCGCTTAGTGAACTTCCGTACATATCAACTATGAATCGAGCGCCAGAGTACCGCTAATGTCTAATGTAATAAGACTACCCTTTTTTTCTTTTAGTGAAAAATGAGCTAAGAAAATAAGTTACTAATGAAATCGTTTCTAAATACAACAGCTGCTCAGTTGATATATAACTAGAAACCGACCGAAAGACCTCGAAATCCAATACCTGTTGTTTATCGAGGCTTCATCGATGAACAAACGGACCAAACTTTTATAGTTAAAAACGCACCTGATGTATGGTTTACAGTCGCTACAATAGATGCGGCACTATTATTCAAAATAAATATACCTTTTTCTTAAGAAAATTGCCGTTTGTTAACGCAATGTTTTTTCATGAACTTCGTACGAGACCTGGATCGATATTTAAATACACTAGAGGGATGTAATAAAAGGAGACTTGGATAAAAAGCAGTGGCGTTGACAGTAACGCCGACCATCGACCAAGTAATGCAGCAAGCTGATATGAAGAGAAAGAAAATGGCGACGAAGTATACACGACCGTCGTCGGGCCGATAACAACAAACTGAATGCATACAACGCTTCGTTTTCTACGTCCGCTCTCGCTTCATTGCTCCGACGGCCGTCGGTGTTGGCACCACCATTACGCTCGTTCTTGTCGCATTGCTGCTCTTGCTATTGCTGTGTCGACTGATCTTGAGCTGCTGTATTTGGGCGTTTGTCGGTCCATCGTGTCGTCTTCGGTATAGCCAGTCTGCAGAGCGTACAGGCAATACGTTACACCTCAATCACTGGTTCTTCCCTCTCTCGTTTCCTCCTTTTCTCTCTGCCTATAGAGACTACCCTCCTCAGAGGCTGCGCAAACTCGAAATTGGTGTTGGCTAGGCTCCGGTACTAGCCGCATGCTCATCCGAATTCTAGGCAAACGCAACTGCTGTTGGTGCTATGTCATTGTTACTGTCTCAAAACTGGTTTCGGTTTGGAAGAGACATATGGAAAGCTCCCATAAACCTTTGCGCGTTGTTTGGAGCCGGATGGGCTCGAGCTGGCTGTATGAAGGTACCAGCCCTGGCTGTAGCACTACGAATAATAGCAAACAGTAAGGGGACACCAGTTATGTCGTTGTCTACATCGGTTTGATCGGTCGCTTCTCGGAGCCTCTGCAGGCCATCTATCGTGCAGCACAATATTTTGCCTACACTTTCAGAGCTGAGCGCCCGAGTAGCTTCACGAGTTCAAACACATAGGAGCATTCGATGGATAGCGAATCGGCGGTGAAGAAAAAGAGTGAAACTCATGCACTCGTAGCCATCGTTTGGGCAGTAAACGCGCAGTCGTATTTGGATACGACGAACGGAGATTAGAGCGGGAAATCATAGATGACGGTCATAAGTGGTTCCGTTAACGGACAAAATATTCGGATGACGTGGAAGAGGGATGAAGGGGGTAACTATAGCTTGGTAAATTATGAGCGCATAGGCTGGCGTTCCAAAAAGTCGAAGCCAAGTGGACTGGCGTGCCAACCTCTGAAACGTATGCAGTGCTATAAGCTGATCGACTGTGTGCCGTCAGTATTTCACTAGGTCGCCATTAAACTGTGGCTACATGAATTATCATATGGTCGCTTCTGCGTGTCCTATCCGAAGGAACAAGGATGAATAGACTTCGATTCAAACGAATGAAATGAGCGATGAGTATTGCGACCGCTAACGAAGTACACTAAATTCAGTGGTAGCCGAGTACACTAAACTCAGGGTCTTCCCCTATGGGTTTCTCCTTTTCCCCAAATTCCTTCTTTCCTTTTTGGCTGAATTTTCATTTTCCATGGGTGTTTCTCATTTCTCCCAACGGGCTTCTCATTTTTGCCAGCGGGCTTTTTGCCTCATGGACTTCTCCTTTTCTTCATGAGTTACCCCATTTCCTCGTAAGCTGCATCTTTCCCCTCGGGCTTTTTCCTTGAGGGCCTTCCAACGTTTCGTTAGGTACGGGGTTCGTTATTACCATCAGCTTGTGAGGAACTACACTCATGTTGG